CCCACCCGTCCCCTCCTCCTCCTCCTCCTCCTCTTCCTCTCCTCTTTCTCTGTGATCTATCATTCATGGACACTCATTTAAAATCGTGTGAAATATTTAAAGTGGCGCCGGGTCGAGGAGTCTCTGACCTCGTCCAGATTATTACTGCACCTCCAGAAAGAGACGGATAATAAAAGAAAGTGCAATATCCCACTGAGTCAGATGCCCTCCCGTCCTCCTGTAGTCCTAAACCAGGACAAAAATAGGACTAAACCAGGACTAAACCAGGACTAAACCAGGACTTAAGGACTAAACAGACTAAACCAGGACTAAAACAGGACTAAACCAGGACTAAAACAGGACTAAAACAGGACTTAAGTAGGACTAAACCAGGACTAAACCAAGACTAAACCAGCACCAAACCAGGACTTAAGTAGGACTAAACCAGGACTAAACCAGAACTAAACCAAGACTAAACTAGGACTTAAGTAGGACTAAACCAAGACTAAACCAGAACTAAACCAAGACTAAACTAGGACTTAAGTAGGACTAAACCAGGACTAAACCAGAACTAAACCAAGACTAAACTAGGACTTAAGTAGGACTAAACCAGGACTAAACCAGAACTAAACCAAGACTAAACTAGGACTTAAGTAGGACTAAACCAAGACTAAACCAGGAATAAACCAGGACTTAAATTGGACTAAACTAAGACTAAACCAGGACCAATCCAGGACTTAAGTAGGACTTAACCAGGACTAAAGCAGGTCCTCCCATCCTCCCGTTTCCTTGGACTTGAGTTAGGCTTCTGTCACTAATTTTAGGACTTGAGGCTCGACTTAATAAAATGGACTAAGACTTGGGACTCGATGTGGCTTTGAAGCTCAGTGACTTGGGACCTGACTCGGACTTGAGCCTTGTGACTTGACAAGACTCGATGCTTCTCTTTCATAAACGGTGGCAGTAGCTCAGTTGGTAGAGCATTCGCCCACTGATCTGGAGGTTGGCGGTTCGACTCCAGCTCTTGACATAAACTGGTGTGATTCCAGCTTCCACAGATGAATGCTGTTGTTGTGTCCTTGGGCAAGACATTTAACCCACAGTGTCTGCGTACACTGGTGTGTGAATGGGTGAGTTGTTGTAAAGTGCTTTGAGTGACTTGAAGGTGGAAAAGCGCTATAGAAAAATGTCTCTCTCCATTTGTTACTCTGGATGGAACTGAAGTACTTTGGTGTGGTATCCTCAGTTGTACTACAGTAATGCAGTACAGTAAAACAGAGGGAAGTACATAGAACATGATCCTTCCATTTCAGTGCAGACTGTATGATAAAATAACTCTTGTTAAGCACTTTTCAATTATTCTGACTATAATGATTCACACTAAGATCTTGTCAAGACATTTAAAAATAAAAATAAATGCATTTCTACAACTCTTATATAAATACTCAAAGATAAATATACGTTTTTAAAAGTACAGTTTAGATAAAAATTCATATAAATTGCAAAAACCCAAGCGATTATATTTGGTGCTTTGGTTTAAAGACTTGAAACGACTTGAAGCTCAAAGCAGACGACTTGGACTTGACTTGGACTTATGGACTTATGAGACTCGACTTGGACCTGCCTGTATTTGACTTGAGGGACTTGACTTGGACTTATGGGCCAGTGACTCAAGAGTGTGTCCCTGTGTGTCAGATGCCCTCCCACACTCCTGTGTCTCTGTAGTGTTTGTCTGGGTTGGGGGCAGGTCAGATGTCTCTAGTTAATCAGTAGATGTCGTGGTGTGTCAGATGCCCTCCCAGATGTGCTGCTGTGGTTGAATAAATGCAGCGGGAGAATGGACTTTGTCTGATAGAAATGATCAATAAAAAAACATTTGTGGATTTGACTTTTGGAGATTTCTGATGAAAATACAGAGAATGAGAGAGGAACTCTCTTCTCCAGTCTGAGGAGGTCTCCATAACAGAACATTAAAGCCCTCACCTTCAGAACGTAATGATGTTTCACGGTTTCCATCTCCATTACCGAGACTCCAGACAGGTTTATAAGTGGAATAACAGCGCCATCTAGTGTGTCAAGTAATAAACGGCAGCTTCCAGAGGTGGGACCAAGTCGTTTTGCAAGTCTCAAGAAGTCTCAAGACTTTCACCTCAAGTCCGAGTCAAGTCCCACATCAAAAACAGGCAAATGCCGTCAAGTCTCGTAAGTCCATAAGTCCAAGTCAAGTCCAAGTCAAGTCCAAGTCAAGTCCAAGTCGCCTGCTTTTGCATCTGCAAGTCATTTCAAGTCTTTAAACCAAAGTACTTTTAAAAATGGTATATTTATATGTATATTTATACACACACACACACACACACACACACACATACATACATATATATACATACATATATATATACATATATATATATATATACACATATACATATATTATATATATATATATATATATATATATATATATGTATATATATATATATTATGAGTATTTATATAAGAGTTGTAGAATTGCTATTTTTTCCTTTTTAAATGTCTTGACAAGATCCTAGTGTGAATCATTAGTCAGAACAGAAAGAATTCAGATTTAAAAATGCTAAATAACAGTTATTTTGTCAGTCTGCATTGAAATGGAAGGATCGTGTTTTGTGTACTTCCCTCTGTTTTACTGTATTCTATATATTACTGTATATTACTGTGGTATATTTGAGGATACCACAGTCAGTTCTATCCAAAGTAAGAAATGGAGAGAGACATGTTCTAGTTTATTCCTGTAAAATTAAGCTCTGCCTGTGTCAACTGAGAAGAGGAAAGTATTTTCTAAAAACATATATTTTTAGGAGAAACATCGAGTCTTGTCAAGTCACAGGCCTCAAGTGCAAGTCAAGTCCAAGTCGAGTCTCGAGTCTTATTCTGTTTTATCAAGTAAAATCTCTAGTCCTAAAAATAGAGTCCAAGTTAATATTTGCAGAGTCCCACGTCTGGCATCTACAGAAGACACAGAGAGAATAAGAAGAACAGAGGACTCAGTGAGAACACCCTTTTCACAAATGTAAACAATAATTTATTACAAAAATCTGATTCCAGAACAGCTTTTGGTTAAATATATATTAAAAAAACATTCAAGAAAAGTGTATAATCAGATGTGCAGCAGTTACAGATTTCACAAAATGATTGGTAAACAAAGTTACACAAATAAACCCATAAATGTCTTAAAAAGGGGGTATTCTGCTAAATTTACTTATAAGGATTTTTTTGTTGTAGTTTTTAGATGTCTTTAATGCATGCTCGAGTATTTTAGTGATCTCCCCCAGGCCCTATTCAAACCCTCCTTATGGTTAGCTGTACAAGACTCCACCCACAAGCCGACATCACCCATGCTCCCACACGACAATTCTCCTTAAACGTACAAAAACCTGAAAACTTTGCACAACACTTGACAAACCTGATGTGATGTGCAGTAGTTTCATTAGCGGGATTCACTCTGACAGGCTCTATTCACGCTTCCGTCACAAAACCGGAAGACGTTTGGAAACACGTGGATGTTGACAACAGTAACTCTGACAAAAAAAATCTGGGAAACCTGAGAAAATGGGCCGGTTTTCTTCATCTACACGTCATTGTTTTCTTTCATTTTTTTCCTTTTAGTAATTTGTGTATTATAATTTGTCTCGTTTAATAAATAAAAAGACTTCCGTGCCTCATGAAAAGCTTTGTCAGGTTGTGAAGACGCTGCTGCTGATTCCAGTGTCGGGAACTCCACCGGAAGTCGTCATCCGCATTTCCAAACGTCTTCCTGTAAGCGTGAGTAGAGCCTATTGTGCTGTGATAGCGCTCTGAAGGGGGAGTGACTTAGCGTGGGGAGCAAAGGCACGGCTTGAGCGACTATAGGATTTTCAAAACAATAAAAGGTAACACGATGATCTAAATACGTTATGTGTTATAGTTCAAACCGCAAAGAAGTAAAGTACCCCCTCTTTATAAACCGTTTCTCTTTATACTCGGAGAATAGATTATAATGTTATCTGTGAAACTAATAAACTAATAAACTAATAGTGCAGTTTGTCTCATGAAACTGTCCTTCTCTGTTCTTCCGTTTAGGCTCCACGTAAGAAGGTGCGTCGTATCAGGTCCAGTAGCGCCCCCTGTGGTCACTGTGGTATAGCCCTCTTCACATGTAAACGCTTCACTCGTCACCTTTGACCTCCGACCCGGGCGGTGACGTCACCTCGGATGACCTCTGACCCGGGCGGTGATGTCACTCACTCAAATTACTGTTTTCTGAATCTGAAATAAAAGACGACACATTAGTCACTTGGACGGACTTTTAAAAGTACTTCTGTGTGTTTTGTGAGTTTTATAAAAATGTTGAGGAAGATTAAAACTTGACATAATCAACTAATGAACTACAGCAGGGAAAGTAGAAGTAGTAGTAGTAGGAGTATTAGCAGTAATATTAACAGTAGCAATAGTAGTATTAATAGTAATAGTATTAGTAGAAATATCAGTAGTTTTAGTAGTATTACTAGTACTAGTAGTAGTAGTAGTAGTAGTGGTAGTATTTGTAGTAGTAGTCGTAGTCGTCATAGTAGTCGTAGTAGTAGTATTAGTAGTCGTAGTCGTAGTATTAGTAGTCGTAGTAGTTGTAGTCGTAGTAGCAGTACAGTAGTAAAAGTAGCTGTAGTGGTAATGGTAATAGTAATAGTAGTAATAGTAGTAGTAATAGTAGAAGTAGCAGTATTAGTAGTAGTATTAGAAGTAGTAATAGTAGTAGTAGTAGAAATAGTAGTTGAAGTAGTAGTAGTAAGTCCAGTACAGTACAGTGGTAAGAGTAGTTGTAGTAGGAATAGTAATAGTAGTAGTAGTAACAGTAATAGCAGCAGTAGCAGTAGAAGTAGAAGTAGTAGGTTTGTACATGTACTATACACTCTATATAATATTTCTGTATTTGAGTGGATAATAGTTTTGTGTCGTACCACTTCGTTCTCTGCAGCGTCTCTTGGCCTCGGCTCGTTCCTCTGAGTCAAAATACCAAACAGTGATGGCGTATCTGAAACACAACCCAAATGTATTTATATTAATGTATAGAAATACTTCAACAGGATCAACAGGCTTTATATTTTAGGACATGTGTGGAGGTGACCCACTCACACAGACAATGACCCGCTCACACACAGAGAACGACCCGCTCACACAGACAATGACCCGCTCACACACAGCGAACGACCCGCTCACACACAGACAATGACCCACTCACACACAGAGAACGACCCGCTCACACACAGACAATGACCCACTCACACAGACAATGACCCACTCACACAGACAATGACCCACTCACACAAAGAGAATGACCCGCTCACACAGAGATGACCCGCTCACACATTAAGAATGACCCGCTCACACAGAGAATGACCCGCTCACACAGAGAATGACCCGCTCACACAGAGAGAACGACCCGCTCACACACAGACAATGACCCGCTCACACACAGAGAACGACCCGCTCACACACAGACAATGACCCACTCACACAGACAATGACACACAGACGACCCGCTCACACACAGAAGAATGACCCGCTCACACAGAGAATGACCCGCTCACACATTAAGAATGACCCGCTCACACAGAGAATGACCCGCTCACACAGAGAGAATGACCCGCTCACACAGAGAGAATGACCCGCTCACCAGAAATCACACACAGAGAACGACCCGCTCACACAGAGAGAATGACCCGCTCACACAGAGAATGACCCGCTCACACATTAAGAATGAGCTCACACAATGACCCGCTACACAAGAATGACCCGCTCACACAGAGAATGACCCGCTCACACAGAGAGATGATCACACACAGAGAAGACCCGCTCACACACAGAGAACGACCCGCTCACACAGAGAGAATGACCCGCTCACACACAGAGAACGACCCGCTCACACAGAGAAATGACCCGCTCACACACTGAGAATGACCCGCTCACACATTAAGAATGACCGCTCACACATTAAGGACCCGCTCACACATAAGAATGACCCGCTCACACAGAGAATGACCCGCTCACACACAGAGAACGACCCGCTCACACACAGAATGACCCACTCACACACAGAGAATGACCCGCTCACACAGAGAATGACCCGCTCACACAGAGAATGACCGCTCACACAGAGAATGACCCGCTCACACAGAGAATGACCCGCTCACACACACATCACACACAGAGACACCGCTCACACCGCTCACACAGACATCACAGACAGAATACCGCTCACACAGAGAGAATGACCCGCTCACACAACCCGCTCACACAGAGAATGACCCGCTCACACAGAGAATGACCCGCTCACACAGAGAGAATGACCCGCTCACACAGAGAGAACGACCCGCTCACACAGAGAGAATGACCCGCTCACACACAGAGAATGACCCGCTCACACACAGAGAATGACCCGCTCACACAGAGAATGACCCGCTCACACATTAGAGAATGACCCGCTCCGCTCACACAGAGAATGACCCGCTCACACAGAGAATGACCGCTCACACACAGAGAACGACCCGCTCACACACAGAGAACGACCCGCTCACACAGAGAATGACCCGCTCACACAGAGAATGACCCGCTCACACACAGAGAATGACCGCTCACACAGAATGACCCGCTCACACATTAAGAATGACCCGCTCACACATTAAGAATGACCCGCTCACACATTAAGAATGACCCGCTCACACAGAGAATGACCCGCTCACACAGAGAATGACCCGCTCACACACAGAGAATGACCCGCTCACACATTAAGAATGACCCACTCACACACAGAGAATGACCCGCTCACACACAGAGAATGACCCGCTCACACAGAGAATGACCCGCTCACACAGAGAATGACCCGCTCACACAGAGAGAATGACCCGCTCACACAGAGAATGACCCGCTCACACATTAAGAATGACCCACTCACACACAGAGAATGACCCGCTCACACAGAGAATGACCCGCTCACACAGAGAAATGACCCGCTCACACAGAGAATGACCCGCTCACACATTAAGAATGACCCACTCACACACAGAGAATGACCCGCTCACACAGAGAATGACCCGCTCACACAGAGAATGACCCGCTCACACAGAGAATGACCCGCTCACACAGAGAATGACCCGCTCACACAGAGAATGACCCGCTCACACAGAGAATGACCCGCTCACACAGAGAATGACCCGCTCACACAGAGAATGACCCGCTCACACATTGAGAATGACCCGCTCACACACAGAGAATGACCCGCTCACACATTAAGAATGACCCGCTCACACAGAGAATGACCCGCTCACACAGAGAATGCATCTTTTTCAATGTATTTTTCATTGAATAAAAGCCACAGAGGTAAGTGACTGTCACAGTAAAGGCTCTGTACTGTACAGTATAATTTATTCATTGTACTTCTTCATCACCTGACCCCTCCCTGCTCTGTGATTGGCTGTTACCTATGCTATCCATTTACCTGGGCTATACATTTACCTGTTCTGCACATGTACCTGTTCTGCACATGTACATGTACCTGTTCTGCACATGTACCTGTTCTGTACATGTACATGTACCTGTACATGTACATGTACCTGTTCTGCACATGTACATGTACCTGTTCTGCACATGTACATGTACCTGTTCTGCACATGTACATGTACCTGTTCTGCACATGTACCTGGTGGCGTAGGAGGGTCGGACTTCGTGAGGATTCCTTCGGTCAGACCAGAAAAGCAGCAGTCGGTCAAACAAAGGCTCGATGTCGCACACATAAGGTCTGTCCTCAGGATAGATCCTCAACAGCCCGCCGTGCTCCTGTTTAATACAAGAGGTCAGGGGTCAAATACACACAGAAGGTAAGAGGCCAGGGGTCAGGTACACAGAGAGGTCAGAGGTCATATTAAAACACAGTATGACCAGAGAACATGAGGTCATGTCTGTTTTCTACTGACTTTAGTCTTTCATAGGGTCTGTACAGTTTAGGAATAGGCTAAAGACAGAGCACATGGCCCCACAGACTCTGCACGTAAACCTGGCAAGCCACTTCTGTAGCCACAGCTGCCCTGGGGCAAACCGACAAAAGTGAGGCTGCCAATCTACATCATCGACCCCTCCCACCACATACCTCATGTCTCATACTAGGCAATGTGTTTGAGCTTAGTGTGTTGCCCAAGGACAGAAAGTCAGTTTACACTGAAACGAGCTGGGCCACTGTTCAAAAAACACTAGTAGCACTAATTAGTAGTAGTAGTAGTAGTAGTAGTACGTTACACTCACCGTTGCGTTCCAGTCCTTGTTGAGGTAGTAGATGCAGGTGAGGCAGCGTCCGTCACTGTTTGGATTGTCCACATGTTTCACATAACCAGCTCCTCCTCCTGGATAACACGCCACCATGGCCTAAAGACACACAAGAGGCTTAGACCAGGTCCAAACCAGGACTGAACACGTCGAAACCCCCGACTGAAGACTCAACTAAGAGTGAACTAAGAGTGAACCAGCTCCTTCTTTTTTTTTATTTTATTTTATTTTTTTTTATTTGAGACAGGGACAGCGCACAATTTTCGCATTAACCTTGACAGGAGAGATGCATTGTACATCAGGTTGTAGCATCAGTGCTAATTTCCACCTGTCGTCCCTGGACAGGTTCATTGATTCTCCGGGATAACACCCCATCATTGCTTAAAACATTGTTCAGTGTCTTGCCCCGTGACACAACAGCAGTACCTTTTTGAGTATGATTGTGTATTACATGATGCACATCTCACCTTAGAGCGATGGCTGATTGGTCGGTTGAGTTTCCGCGCGGCGCTGGTCACTAGTTTATCGATGACCACAAGCAGAGTGTTAATGGCGTCACATCCTCTCTCCGTCCCACACACCCACGTGATCCTGTCTCCTCTCACCGAGCTCCTCTTCACTCCCGGGGCTGCGCGCATCAGCTGGCCCCCCTTCAGAGCTCCAGACAGGTGCATCCTCCTCACCTGCTCAAGCACCGTCCCCCCTGTGACTTCACCCAACACGCCGTCCAACCAGCAGAAGCCCTGAGCCGAGAGGGCGGGGACAACGCGCTGGACCACGATCCGCTCGATGTCCATGTCGCCAACGGGCTCCGCTAACGGCATTTTAGTGTCAGTCACTGAGAGAGGAAGTGCCCTGTGGAGGGGAAGGGGCTTGCAGCGAAGTGGGATGGGCTTGCAGAGGGTCCTTTTAGTCCGGACCAGGTCTCTGCGTCCTCTGGGTTTGGACCGGGAATCCAAGATGGCTGACGTTGTGGCAGATTCAGAGAAGAAACTTGAACTACAGCTCAGTCCAGTCAGACACAACCAAAAGTGTCTGACAACAGTTTTTACTTTTCTTAATTTCTGCAGTTTGTAAAAATAATAATAATAAAAAAGTTACTTCCAACTACTTAAAAACTTTTAGTTGGTGTAACTTAATAAAACGTCAAAAACAAGAGAGTACAGAAGATATAGTTCTGTTACTCTTTGGGAAAAGTGCTAGTTACAAAATACTGTGTGTCTAGGTTCAAACTTGAAACTGAACCTAAAAAGTCAAGTCTAGTTTTTTTGTAAAAAGAAAAACAAAACAAAAAAACAAATATATATATATATAAATATTGGTAATTATATTAACTATTTTCTGGGTTAAACAAGTACAAATCTAAAATCGTTTACATTTGTTCATACATTTGGAATAAGACACTGCAGATTTACACCCCAAATTGTATCAACAATTGTGCAAAAGTTAGGTAAACTCAAACTCAAACTGTTCGTGCGCTAAAATTTGAATGTCTTTAAAAATCTGAAGTTTTAAACAAAGCTTCGGCTGCAGAAGTTACGTGTCCGTAGAGAGTGGCTCACAGTCACGTAGTCCACCTCAAGACCTGCGCTCGTGAAAAATCGGTTTGACGAAAAATATCATAACACGATCAATAAAGTCAAAGATAAATATGAAAAATACGATACATTCCTCGTGTTTGGTCCCAAATCGTGTCTAAATCTGCGGGACAAACGAAGAGTCGGTGAATTGAATCGGCGGGCGGGAGAGGCTGGCGTCCTCTGGTGCTACGTGCGTAAAGCCGAGTGAAGAGAAACGCACGCAGAGCCTGTTTGTATCGGAAACAAGAGTCTGTCAAAGAGCGAAGGGTGACGGAGGAAAGATCTGGTCTGCACCTTCAAAATAAAACCAGAAAAGAGTCAGTAGAGATGGAGAGTAAAACAAAGCAATAATACAAAGTGGATTTATGCAGTATATTCTGTGTAAACGTCCTGTATCACACAAAATAAACTCCTGTGAACTTTAAGCCACGTTACAATGATGTTACCTCAGAAGAAACATAACTGGAGCTGTGTTTCATTCAGACGTTTGTGTGATCCTGGTCCTGCATTATTAGTCTGTCTACATCTCTCGAGCTCAAAATGTTCTGTTCCACCTTGTGATGTCATGAAGGTCTAGCAGTAGTTTTCAAGTGAAAGTTAACAACGTTTTACCTTTAGTTGAGTTGATCGGCAATTCCAGTGCTAAAATCATCTAACTGAGTCTAGTGAAGATGCACGGAGTTTAAAAACAGAGTGGAGCACTTCCTCTATTACCACATGACATCACAAGGTGGAACAGAGTGTTCTGTGTGAGAGGAGAATTAAGCCTAAATCTGCAGGGTTTGTGTGTTAAAGTAATATTTTCATTGAAGCAACATGTACTTGAGTAATATATATATATATATATATATATATAGCAGCTCTTTCAGATATGATTTAGTTTGTCTCATTTTTAAGTCTGTCCTTTGAAAATACAAGATTTTGTGAATTATTTAATGTTTTGTTCTTTAAATTACATTCACTTCAAATGATCAAACAGATTATACATCCTGACAGTTACTCTTTCTGTTACTCTTCAGTTGTAGGCTTTTCTTAAAAAGTAAGTAATTTAATCACTTCTACAGTAATCACTACTTTGTACTTCAGCTTGAGTCATTTTTTTTAAAGTAATTCTTGTTTACTTTACCCACCTCTGTTATAGTTCTATGGTCTGCTATACAGAAGTCTGAAACGCGCTTTATTTTTTGCCTGAGCTCACTTCCTGTGCACGTCTCTTGTGTGTGCCGCTTGACGCAGGGCCAAAAGTGCGACGTGCTGAATTTGTAGTACACTCCGGGGGAGGAGGAGGAGGGCTGTGCCTGACTGGGGTTTATCTGCGCTCCTGTCCTCACGTACTCCACACTACCTCTCCAAAAACGCTCCAAAAACCCCAAAACGCCACCAAAACGCACCTGTGCACCGCGTTCTTCAATATGACACTTATGACATTCTAGAATAAACCACCACTCGACCTGCCTTGGACTTAAGGTTAAGACTTATGTTTAGAACAAAAGTTATCAGTACTGATTTAGTCCCGATTTAGCCCTCGTCTTGACCTGTTTTTGCCCAAATTAGGATGTAGGTCATCTTTTGTTTGTTTGTGTTTATCTTTTCGAGCCTGACCGGGGATAACCCGGTTTAGCTCTATTTAGTCTAGTCCTTGTTCTGTCCTCGTTCAAATGTGACTTTTCATGCTTTTCTTGGAAAACTTTATCACTCCCCAAACAACTCGCAGTGCCCCTAAACATGTATTTCATAGAAAGTTTGTAAATGTAGTTCTGGGCAGTCTGTGTAATAAAAGTGCACGCACACGTGCCATCACGCGCTCACCTCTCTCACGTAAACAATGTGACGCCGCGTCCTGTTCTCTTCATTTTCTGATAAAAAGGTGGCGAGCATGCTGCGCGGGCACGTTCGTCCAGGGGCGTGCCCGGTGCCGTTGGAGACCGCACGTAACCCACATCTCCCACACACGCGCGCACAGGATGTACACACACGTGCAGCACGCGACAGGGAAGCCGTGGGAACCGAGATAACAACAAAGCACTTATCCACGGATAATTAGTGTGTCAGATGCCCTCCCATGCTCCTGTGTGTCAGATGCCCTCCCAACCTCCTGTGTGTCAGATGCCCTCCCATCCTCCTGTATCCCTGTAGTGTTGGCCAGGTCAAATGTCTCTATTTAATCTGCAGATGTTGTGGTGTGTCAGATGCCCTCCCAGATATCATGGTGTGTTTGGATATTTGGATAAATATAGCAGGAAACTGGTCTTGTTTGGCTTGGATCCAGATCTTGGCGTGTGGGACGTGATCTGTCTGTTAAAGTATAAACACCCTCCCCCTTCCCTTTCCTCCTCCTCCTCCTCCTCCCTCTCTCTCTCTCTCTCTCTCTCTCTCTCTCTCTCTCTGTCTCTCTCTCTCTCTCTCTCTCTCTCTCTCTCTCTTTATCTCTCTCTATCTCATGTTGGTCAATGCTGTTTCTTTTTTAGGCTCACCACATCTAAATTGGGACTAGATTAGTGTTGTTATGAATCTGATAAAAAGTAAACAGAGTTAAATTTGTCCTTTGCTATCTTATTTTAGACACCAGTATGATTTTTGACAATAAACATGTGCTCTTATACGTGTGGAATCCCTCGGCGGTCCACGTGTGTATACTACAGTGTACGTGCTCTTATACTTGTTCTGATACAGCTCAAGATCATTCAGGATAGGTTAGTTTCTGTCCTGTGACTCTTTCAGATTGGGAGGGACAAAACCCAGAACTAAACCTGAACTAGAACAGGTCTAACTCCGCATTAGGACTCAAACAGGACAAGTTGTGCTCTTATTGTGGTTTATTTAGGATTAAAATGACCAGGAAGTCCCCGCCTCAGGCCCAAGTCACAGAGACTGACTCATTTAACAGGCTTTAATTAATCACATTCTCATGATTAATTTTTAACTTCCTGTGACCTTAAGTGTTCCTCTCTGTAGTGTGTACAGTACATGCCATTATGTTTGATTGTGTAAACATCTGTCTTTCTCACTTTTCTATAAACAGCTCTATTCACAAATAAAAAGGCATGTAGAGTTTAAAAAGGTGTATAGATTACACCAGTGATGGAAGGTAACAAAGTACAAAAGTAAAAGTACAATATCTAAGTACAATTTTTAGGTATCTGCACTTTACGCAGTTTTACAGTGGATACTTTTTGCTTTTTCTTCACTACATTTGAGAGCAGGTATCTGTACTTTCTACTCCACTACATTTTAGATTTGGACTGAAAAGTAAAAAGTACTTTTCTTTATGTCTGAGACCTTCTGAAAAAGCTGAGACTTATTTTTACCACATTTAATTTGAGTTAATGTCCCAACTTTGAGCAAACAAATACACACAAACAGCCAAAACAATGAACAAAATCACTTAAAATCGGCCAAATTCTTTATCAAAACTACTATATTTGAGGCTTTAATTGTTGAAAATACATTTAATTTTTACTCTCAAACTACATTTCTAAACAGATACTTCGTTTTACTTTTTACTAGATTTTTTTACTTTTACTTTGCTTGAATGTTTTTTATTGTTTTGTTTTTTGTCCATTTATCTGTACTTTTACTTAAGTAGCAACATTTAGTATTCCATCGACCACTGGAGTCCAATTATTATTTGTAAAACGTTATACAGTACAATACAAAAGATAAATAAATAAAAAAAGGAAGAATCATGTAATAAATATGGGCGGGTTAATATAAAAACTATATATCTGCTTTTCTGTTGTTTACAATATATAGTATGTATATTATCAGGCCCGTCGACAGAAATTTGTGGGCCCTGAGGCAAGAAGACATACATGGGCCCCCCTCCAATATAAAATATAAATTAAAAAGAAGCTGGTCCAATTCATGACAACAGATCTCTTTGTCCCTCAGGTCAACTAAAAGTCAGGTCTGTGGAGAAGCAAGCCCGCTCAGAGTAAGAACATATGAGTTTCAGTGCAATAAACAAAACAACAAAACAGAAACTAAACAACATGATTCTCTTTTAGTCTATATTTGGGCTAAAAAGTTACACACTCTGGCTTTAAGCTGCAAAAATGTCCTCAATAAAAAAACTCACCAAGTGTTTTACCCAAATATGCCTTTAATGATCCACAAAAACACCTCCATGAAAACTTTACATCTGTTTACATCACATATTTACAAAGACAAAGGAACAGATCAGCAGTTTCACAGGAATTCTCAAAGTTTTACAGGAAAACTGTACAATAAGGGACACTTCCGGTCAACACAAACGCCTCTGTGCTTTGGGTTCCACAAAGAAAATCACGGTAAACCAGGACTAAATGAGAACTGAACCAAGACTAAAGCAGGTCTATACCATCAGGGTTTCATGGAGTAAACCAGGACTAAACAAGGGCAAAATCAGGATCTAAAAATGGACTAAACAAAGGCTGAAGCTGAACTAAACCAGGACTAAACAAGGGCAAAATCAGGGTCTAAACCGGGATTAAACCAGGAATAAAACAGGAAACCGGGCCTAAATAAAGTCTAAGCAGAGAACTGAATCAGGACTAAACCAGGTCTATACCATGTCAATGTTTCACGGATTAAACCAGAACTAAACCAGGATTTAATATGGACTTAACCAGGTCTACCATTGATTCCTCTGTTCACTGATAATAATTTTTTTGTCCAAATGTTCAAAAATATTCTAGAAAAACTCAACAAATTATAATTATTCTTATATATATATAAAAAAAAAGAAAACTACTAAAAATAATTAATGGCAATTCAAATTCATTGTAGAGTGCACATTTAAATTTAAAATAGTCATGTGTTAATATACTGCACATACGTAATTTTAATAATATTTAAAGAAGCATTATGTAACTTTTCTACTGAGGGCATTATTGCTTTTCCTGTAATGTTCCACAGCATGGCATTACATCTATCTAACACCATGGAGACAACTCGAGTTAGATAAGGTGTCCCAAGCCAAGTTACAGTTCAGATCTATGGAGAGGTGAGCCCAGTAAGTACACATGTTTCACAAATATTTCTTTGGCAATAAAAACACCTGAAATTGAATAAATGCTAGAGACACGTTTAATGCCACACTGAGGAACATTACAGGTAAAGCAATCACATCTCCATGGAGACAAGCATCAGAAAAGTTACATAGTGCACTTTTAAATAAAAAAAAAACTAAAAAATAAAAAAAACTAAAAGCAGAGGTGGGTAGAGTGGCCAAAAGTTTCCTCAGTAAGTTTTTTCAAAATACCATTACTCAAGTAGAAGTACAAAGTAGTGGGAGTAAAAAAAAAAAGTATTTGGGAAAATTAAGTAACTGTTGGGACATAACATCTGATTTATAATTTGGAGTTAATATTTTGTCCTTCAAATTAATTAATTTTAAATAATTCACAAAATCTGGTATTTCCAAATTACAGACAAAAATTAGACAAACTAAATCATATCTGAAGGAGAAGTGCAAGAAACACAAATGTTCAAATAATTTCATATTGTCACAAAAAGCTTTTGTCACTTTAGATTTTAGATAGTGAGAAGAGGAATCACAACTTTTACTCAAGAGTACTGTTCCACTGTACAATATATTACTCAGTAGAGTAAAAGTATGCAGCTGAAAAAGTACTCTTAAAAAGTACAAAAAAAGTTACTCAAGTAAATGTAACTGTAAATGTAATGTAACCCACCTCTGTTTAAACCCAACCACTTTTCATATACATACAAATCTGGTCACATTTTGGACATTTTAACCACAAAAAAAAAAAAAAAACTAAATAAAATATAACTTCTGTATATTTAGTTTTAAGACATTTTTTAAATGGAATGTGCTCATAATAAAGACACACCACCTCGTGTGCGCAGGAACAGTCCAAAACGAAGGGTCAAAGTTCAAGATTAATTTGAACTTTTGTTTTTCACAGAGCCTGGAGTCTTCCCATTGGCGGAGGAAAGTTGATGGGCAGGTGGACGGACCAACGGGGCGCAGGCGTGAGGCAGGAATGGGCAGGTCAGAGGTGAACGGGAGCGTGTCATTGGACAACCTCAAAGTAGTGCAGGATGGCCATGATGTGCTGAGGCATGAACACATATCCAGTGTAAACAGCCATCGCAGCAACGGAGATCAGCAACGAATCTGAGGGAGAGAGGGTTAAGGAGGAAGAACTCTGGACTAAAGAGGGAGAGGTTAATGGATAAAAACTGAAGAATGAAGGAGAAGGGGAGAGGTAATAACACATAGCTAGTATGCGCTTCCCGCTCCACTGCCTGACTCCAATTCACTTTCTATTGAAAAACTCTCACCCCTCTCTCTGTAACTGCTGTTTGTCAGGCTCCTTATTTTGGTCTTAAAATGTTCATATTAATTATTTAACTATTTTGTCCATAAATAAATTCCTATTAAGAAAATGGAAGTTGGCTCCAAAATAACCACCGGCCTCAGTGAGCCTCATTTGACTGTAGTCAAACATTATGGGTGAAGCCAGTCTCACTTAGACTGTTTCTTTATACTGGTCTATGGTCTCAATTTACAATAGAAATAATCATCTGATTAGAATAACCCTTTATTATTAGTCTGTCTACATCCCAACACGCAAAATGTTCTATTCCACCTTGTGATGTCATGAAACAATGGTTTTCAAGTTAACAGTTAATTTTTACATTTAGTTCAGTAGAGATAGAAAATTCCAGGGCTAAAATGATCTAAGGGAGTTTAAAAACATAGTGGAGCACTTCCCGTATTACCATGATATCACAAGGTGGAGCAGAGTGTTTTCTGTTTGAGGAAAGAACAGTCTAAATATGCAGTGTTGTGTGTTAAACATGTGCTGTCATGTTTGTGATGGGGAAACATAACAACAGGAAACAGCTTAATATGGAAACCATTTAGCAGCATGATGAAAGTCTAAACAGAAAGACAATGTCATAATGTCACACATTTCCTCGAAGGCGCAGCTCTAAATGTTTCTCCCTGTCTCCGGGTCAGCTGACCGCTGATCATCTGAAATCCACATCCAGTTTTTAAGTCAACACTGGAGTAATCCCTCATTCAAACACTGTCAGTTTACAATACAAAAACAATAAATCAAACAAAGACAACACCATATGATCTGTTTGCACAATACACAAAGAGCACCCTACACAGAAGCCGCACTTAAGCTGTTCAAACATCTGCGGAGTAACTAACAGACATGAGTAGAGTAGTCAAATATTGTACTCAAGTAATCTTACTTCAAAATAATATTACTGAAATAGGAGTGTAATGTTTCCAAGGAATTACACAGGTAGGTGTAAAAAAAAAAAAAAAATATTACTTGTATAGAAGGAAAACGTCTGCTGCTAGAAAAATAGTCAGGAAAGTATTATTTATTTCAAAAAGTTGTGAATGTAATGGAGTACTAACCAGCTCTGGTAACTGAAACACATTATAGACTTATTTAACTCATTAGTTTTAGTGTGAATGTCCAAAAGTAGACCTACTTTTGGACATTAACACTAAAACGAATGAGTTCAACTACCACACGACACACATACTTCAGATATTTGGCATAATTGACAGACTGGTACAGGCTTGGTGTTTACATGATAGATAGATTTTCATTGTCGAAACACACTGAGTTATATAAAGGTCATGTTTTAAGACTTTTGCACAGTCAAATGTAAATGTAACGTATGGACTCAATTGCCAGGTGAATATTGTATCACGTTAAGATGAAAAAGTTAAGGCCCAGGTAAGCAAGTAAAATTAAGAAGAAGGCTACAAATAATCCACTATAAGGACACTATTGGGCCAAAGCACAAATCCGCATGACTGAAAAGCTGTAAAATGAAATAAAGTTAGCATTAGCCACAGTTAGCTCGTGTCGGTGAAAGGATACTGAAGACGGTTCTCTCCCACGGCTCCAGCATGTACAGCGCCGTCACGAGCAAATACTGGTAATAAAACCAGGACAGCTGCTTCCAACAGTCCCCCAGTGCCATGTCCCTCCGCTACTCGCTGATGTGTCCGCTTTTACACTCTTCTTATTCGCTTTTCTCCGCTTTTCTCCGGCTCTGTTTGATTATTTACTACGTGGTTCAGTCACGGCGGGCACTTCCTGCAATGCGGTGACGTAGAATCAGGAGTTTGCAGGTTTGGGCCAATCAGAGAGCAGCGTCACAGGGCACGCACGCAAGGGAGTTCCAACGTCCGGTTTCACAATTTAAATTAAAAAAATTAAAATAAATAAAAGTGCTAATCATCATCATCATCATAATTACTGTATTGTAATTACAACATCAACCTTTCCATAGAGTGCAGGATACTGTTCTGCTAAAACCTGGCCATAACACGGTTAATTATTATAATGTTAATGTCTTCTGGGCATTGTCCCTGATCAAAACAATTAATAATAATCGTAAAGTTGGAATTACATGGGGTTCTGCTTCTTGTAACAGGTGACATTTTTAGGACTACTTTGTTTTAAATTGTTAATTGCTATAGCAACAGTCCTAATTTTTCACCATTCTGAAACTCAAGGATATCCAAAATATTTCTACGCCTATCTGCAAGTGGTAAATTGCAGTATCAATAATTGACAAATCAGTATTCCTTTCTTCCCAAAACATCTCAAATATGTTAATCAAGTAAATGCAAAGGGAGTACTGACCGCTGTTCCACATACACATACAGTTTATATCAATATGAAACATACAAATTCCTCCATAGATTTACACAACAACCAGAACTTAGTCAGTTTACAAAAATAAAACTGACCATTCTTTTATATGTATGAATGTGTGAATGGGTCTTAGAGGCACACTCACAGCCACACCTCTGCCAGTCTGCCTCAGGGCACATGTGGCTACAGAACACCACTTTTACAAAAAAATACAGTGACTGAGTGTCTGGAAAGCGTATTATTTTAAAAATTATTGTCATTCTGTTCTGACCAAACCTTTAAAAAGAAATATAAGAAACAACTGTACAAAACCTGGATATGAGAGAAAATACTAAAGCAAAAATAAAAAAATTCAAACAAGAAAAAATCAGGCATCACTCAGACATCAGATTTTATAATTTCAGACCTGAAATTTGAGATTTGGAGCTAACAGTCTTTTGTTTTGGTGGTGCTCCTGTTTTGCCCAGATCGCTAGTTTGGATCATTAGTTTGGTTTATCATTACCCAACTTGGCACAGATTTCATACTGAGCATGCCCAGATACTTTGGCGTAGGGCTGAAGTTACCATAGTAACTGTGCTCAAAACTAACCTCATTTGTTCAATCAAATTTACACTTAGAAAATTCACAATTTTAATGACAAATATTGGCTCAATGTATTATATATTTAAATTGTATTTATGTATGAATTCAGATGTTAAAAACAGTACAAATTTGATAATTTTGAGCAAAAACTATAATTCTTGTTTGTCTTTCTACAAATAAACTCTTTAAAATAGTTGAACTGTGGTATAGACATTTAAACTGAGCACATGAGTTAAATGATAACGGACCAAATTGAGTAATGACTCTGTTAGCCTGGACCATTAGCTTGTTAGCTCATAGCATTAGCAGTGTCGTTCATAGTGTTAGCAGTGACTGGCAAGAATGTTGAAGAAATGATAAACTTCGTCTTTGTCAAAAACAGCAACTTCTGTGGAGCATTCAGAGCACTGGACAGGATGGTAGACCTCCTCTGAGTCCAGGCCCTCTGGTCTCTGGTCCGGTCTCTGCTCCTGGTTTAGTCCCTGTTCTAGTCCCTGGTTCTGTCCCTGGTTTAGTTCAGGTCCGGTCTGGGTCCCCGGAGCTTTGCGTTTGCGTCTGTTCCTGAACTTGCGTGGATCTGGTTGGGTTTTGTATCTCAGGACTTCGTCTTTTTTCACGGTGCAGTTCATCACAAACATGGCTCTGTACTGGGTCCGGTACTTTTCATGTCTGAGGCAGAAAAAACAGAAAACATATGGAAATTAACACAGAAATTATTTTAACTCTTTCCCCCTTGGACACCTACTAGGAACAACCCATACATATGTTACTAGGGCTACCCTTAGAGCATAATTGCATAAAAGAAAACGAACGTCCTTGAGTGATTATAAATGATTTTCATTATTTAATTTCTCATTAACTTAATTGAAACATAGACATATTTGGTATCTCTGGAAACCTTAGACTCTGAACTATTCATTTATGGATGTTTAAATGTGATTCAGCTCAATTACAGGTATATAACAGCTCACTGAAAATGAGAGTTTACCTGGTCAGGTGCAAAATCGAAAACAAAAAACTACATTCAGCATCTGATATATGCATGTTCTGAGCATTATATTCATAAAAAAACATTTTAAAATATATTTGTCTAAGTATTTAAACAGACTTCATATCACCAGATACAGTATAGCCAAGTGTACACCTGTTTATACCTGCTGTACACCTGTGTGCACCTAATTCGTATTTTCCATTTAGCTTATTCAACTCATATAGTTTATTCAACTCATAGTTTATTCAACACACATAGCTTATTCAACTCCCATTCAACTCCTATTCAATACACATAGCTTATTCAACTCATATTCAACTCATATTCAACACATATAGCTTATTCAACTCATAGCATTTTCAACTTGTATAGCATTTTCAACTTTTTTTCAATATAGGAACATCTAAAAACATCTGGAAGGACTGATTAATCTGAAAGGTGTGACTCAGGTGTGAGTCAGGTGAATGTCATTCAATTACACCTCAACTCAGTCCTCAGGTGGATGCAACTGCCAGAAACAGTCATTGCACATGTGTGCATTGCATGCTGAACAGCCATATACAGTTTCATGGCGGGGTTCCTTCTTGTAGCAGCTTTTGCACCTGCAGTGTTTTCCAGGCAGTCGCTCAAAGGAGTGTGTCATCTTGCGTTTCTGCAAATTAATGTCTATGGGAGGTCCACTCTCGAACGGCAGCTCGCTTTCTGCTGGAGAATTCATTGATCAACTCCTTACCCAGTTCCAAGATAAAGTCCTTCTGGGCATAGCGCTTCCTCCTTCCCAACTGTCTGGTTGATGCCAGCTTATATAGAATCCAGGCATTTACACGACAGCAGTCAATCACAAACCACAAGATGTACTTCCAGTACTTTTTGCTGGGACGTGATGTGGCATATTTTTTCCTTAGTTGATCATTAACATCAACGCCATTCATGTATTGGTTATATCTGTTGATAGCCTGGGGTTGTGGCACAGTCAACTTCTGTCTGCCCACCTGCTGTTCACAGGTAATCATTTCACTTGGAGTAAGGCAACTGTGAGCAACAATTACAATGTTGTTGTCATTCCAGGCAGTCACAGTGATGTTGTTTTTTTGAAAGGCCATGATGTCACCTCGTTTGGGCAGCTGTTTCTTGAGCTTTTTCTTTTGTTTCATGGCAGGGAGGGCATCTTTTCTGGTCAACAACATTGTCCCACAAACGTATATGTGGTCTGACAAGAGATTCTCCAGCAATGAAATTGAAGAGAAAAATTGGTCAAAGTAAACACAGTGATTTAGACCAATTAAGTCACGTGTCATATCATGAATGACTCGATATCCTAATCCATGAAGCTGCTGAAGAGGTGTCTGATCACGCTTGCCTGAATATAAGTCAGACATGTAAGCTGTCCTACCATCACACCTTGCCCAAAATTTAATGCCAAACTTCTCTGGCTTTTTAGACATGTACATGCGTAGCTCTGTTCTGCCTTTGTAGCCCTTCATGGCTTCATCGATGGAGATATCACGACTATGCTTGTAGTACATTTTGAAATTCTGACGTGCCATGTCAACTATAGGAGCGACTTTTGCAATGGGATGATAACAAGGATCATTTCTAGAGAGACGCGCTGCAGCGTGATTGTAATGTAGGTACTGAGTTATTTTTTCATACCTATTCATGGTCATGACACGCAGAAACCCGCTGACACCCAAGAAAGGATCTCCAGACCAATAATCCGAGTATTCGTGCAAGGGATTTACACCCATGAGTATCGATAATCCAAAAAACGCTTTCATTTCTTCCCCGTCAGTGGGTGTCCAGTATTTGTCATCTTGGATTTCTCGTGCGCAGAGCTCCGCGTAAGCGTTTGTTTCTCTAGCAATTTTGTCATACATCTCATCTGGGAAAAAAAGCCTGAAATATTTCATAGGACTAGCCTCAGCAACTTCCAGATTTTGGGGCAATTTTGGTCCATAATCAAGTACAAAGTCCACGATAGTTTGTTCGGATATAACATTACTCCATGCATACGCGTCACCGGCATTCTTATCTTGGTAAGTTTCACTCTCCGAACACTCTCCGTCGCTATCGCTGTTTTCCATAGAAAGATCAACTTCATCATTACTTTCAAATCCATAAAAGTCAGAGTCAGAATCACTTTCGCCAAAGTTGTCCATAAAATACGCCCGCTCCTCATCATTTCTAAAACTGTGCGCCGCCATCTTTCCATTGCACGTGTTTTGTGTTGTGTTTTTTCCGGCAGCTACAATTGTCACTACTTCGATTAACTTCGGAAAAAATCGTCGAAAACACATCCCTGAATCCTACTGGTCAACCTAGTATGGGTTGTAGTGACCCCACCTATCACAGTCTCTGTTTACATGTGAAAAACTGAGCCGTTTCTAAGGGTCGTCAAATCTCGTCTTTAGTGATACAGCGGAGGTGTCAAAAGTCATCATTAGGGGTACGGGGGGGGGGTCGTCAAATGTCGTCTTTATGGGGGAAAGAGTTAAGATACTTTTTAGCAACAAAAAAAAAAAAAAAAAAAAAAAAACAACATACGGTGGAACATTACTGGTAAAACAAAGTTTCTTAGAAAAGTTAGATAGTGCACCTTTAAAGCACAGTCTATTCTAAAATGGGCAACAACTAAAACATTCCACATTACACGCATTGTCATTTAACGTGTATATTAATAATATTATTTATTTGTGTTACCTCTGACAGTCGAGGCAGAGCGTGGTCATACAGGCTGGACAGTTTAACACTGCGTCACTGCTGCAGAGGCCCTGAGAGCGCACCGCTGCCCTTGCACCACCAGGGGGCCGACGCCTGCTCTGGTACCTGCGCATACACAAACAGGGATAAATACTACTACTACAAGTACTACTAATACTAATACTGCTACAAGTATGCCTGCTCTGGTACCTGCACATACACAATAAGGGATAAATACTACTACTACAAGTACTACTAATACTAATACTACTACACGTACGCCTGCTCTGGTCCCTGAGGAATAATGAGGGATGGGAGGGAAGAAATACTACTGCTGCAAGTACTATTCATGCTATAATTTCTCTATAATAGAATAAATGTTACTAATATACTAAATAGCCCTGGACTCACTGTTCACATGCACACCAAAATATGATGTGAGAAATCAAAGGGGTCATGATCACAAAGTATGGTTTAGCTGTTTACATGTCATTTTAATAAATGTATGAATTCAAGTATCTTTTAATGATCAGATTTACAGTCTGCATGTAACCGCAGCCACTGTCCCCTTTTATATTCTTCTGTATAAACTCTCCTCTCGTATTTGTTTTTACGTGTATAAATGCATTGCTCTTGTATATATTTTACACTCTCTCTATATAAACTCACTGTCTCCTCTTGTTGTCGACCCAGGCCTGGTCCCGATCGTCTTCGTCTGGGTCATACAGAAGCTCATCATTGGTCAGAACAGTCCGCTGTCTCCGTCTCTTTCCTGTTGAACTGCCTATCAGACGAGAGGAAACATTTTAAACAAATAATGGTATTTTTAGGGAGATGCACACACAAGAGAGCAAATATGTATAAATTTAGCTTTTGTGTGTGTCCTGTTTGAAGTTAAAATGTATACTTGACTCACTGGGTGTGTCTTCTTCCTCTGAGTCTGAGTCAAAGTAAACTTTGTCGTACATTTGAGGATTCGCTGCTTCTCCTCCTCCTCCTCCACCACCTGATGTCTCAGCTGAGAAACAAAAAAAACTTTAGATAAGGCAAGATATACTAAGACAGATATAAACTTTTACATGAATCACGATAAAAAAACATAGTTGTGATCTGGTTCCAAGAAAAGAATGACACAATAGAGCAGTGTTTTCTGTCTGAGAAAAGAACTCAGCCTAAATATACAGGGTCTGTGTGTTAAACATGTGTGAATGAAACAAAACACATCTCCAGGAATGTGTTTAATGAGGAAACAACTTTATACCAGATCAGAAAATAGTGTTATATGGACCTGTTAATGGGATGATATTAGCAGTACTATGACAATATTATGACGTCTTCAACATTTTAAGTTGTTTTGCGACACACTGTTCCTCCCTGTTTCAGACCTACCCTGCCCTGGTGCGCTGGTCCCGGGCCCCCAGGAGCCCTCCATGTCTCTCATTGTGGAGTTAAGTTCCGCCTCCATCTCCTTCTCAAACTCGTCTGCACTTGAAGACTCGCTCTCTCCGGTCAGGTACTCACGAATCAGCTTCTTTTTCTGTTGCGGAGTACCATTTAGCAGAATCTCCAACTCATCCTCAGAGCTGAAGAGAAAGAGAGAGAGGGATCAGAGGAAACTAAAACTAGGGCTGTTTTATAAAAGAGCTTGTATTTATCTCCTACAATCATCAATTTGATTATTTAAACAAATAAACCTGTGTTCACTTTAAATTTCATTCTTTTTGAATAGATTCAATCTGTACACCATAACATTTTTGTAAAGGTCTTAACTATAGGGTGAGCAGCCTTTTCATAGAATAAGACCCCATGGAGATACAAGGAGGGCATCTGACACACGGGGGGCATTACTGAACATGTCTGTAGAGATCTAAACTACAGGGTTAGCAGCTTTTAGACCTCCATGAGCATCAAAACGCTTAATAAGTGGTTGGCTGCGTGGGTTTGTTTACATGTTAGCATTAGCCACCTATCCACGCGTTAGCTTCGTTTAGCCTCATTTTCGTCTTTTAAAAGCTTTCTAAACCTTTTACCTGCTCTGAGCCTGTTCCTCGTCACTCGGCTCCTCGATCTCATACGAGTCAAAATCCTGGGACCTGTTCATTTTGTTCATTTTGACGGTTTTATGGAGTTTAATTTGCGTTTTATTTGAAACTGCGGCGCATCCTGCTTCACCGTGACACTTGCCGCTTCCGGTTCCGCTGCAGCTCAGACTAAACAGCGCCTCTGGGGCACAAGAAATCTCTTATGATTCACAAATGTCCAACTTTCTCGTTATTTGTTTGGGATTGGCTTCACAAACTTGTTATATTAATCTAACAGGAAAAAAAGAACAAAAAAAAAAAAAAAAAAAAACAAGTGTGGTTGGCTGCTCTTGTGGTTGCCTGGCTCACACACTGAGCACTTAATGAAACTTTTCGTTTTTTGAGCTTAGTTTTTAACATCATATCATGGGATTTTTAACCAACTAAAAAGTGCAGCATGAGCAGTTCAAAGGACCCAAGGGACTTTTGGATTTTGCGAAATGAATGGTTTGTTTTTCCCGTATCCATAGCTTTTTACACGACCTGTGGCAGCAAATATGGCCGAAGATCTTCCAGAAGACACATGCTGAGGGAATTAACCATTTCATCACCAACCAAAACACAAGAGTGGAGTAAGAACATTACAACGAAGCCTTTCCTGTTGGAAAGGCTGCAGAACATAGAGGAGGGACACTTTTGGCTCTTCCTCTCCTCAAACTGCTCTGACACAGATCTGCTGCCCCTACCTGACCAGTCCTCCTGTTAAACTGCACTGAGACCTTTGACTGAGACTTAAAGACCACTGAGATGGGGGAATGCTGCTGCAAAACTGTAACAATTTGCTGCAGCAAATCTTGAAATTCTCTCATGATCAATAAAGTATCTCTCTCTAATCTTACTAATCAAAAGTCCTTTCAACTGACAATCACATCTTTGGGGTTGAGTAATGGCACCACTTTCTGAAACTATTGTGAAAAATCATTTGGCTTTTGTTTATTTATTCTGATAGAGAAGACGCTGAACTTTGTGCCAGTTTTTGTTTCTTGTGGATAGGCCCAATAATTACAGAGATAATAACCATAATCCAGGTCAACAAATCTGCAATCTGACAATTAAACAGCCAACTCAAGTTAAACTATAGACTGTATTGTAAATTCTGAATAGTAATTTTGCAGCTTCAAAAACTATAATAAGTAATAATGTAAGAATATGCAAATGCAACGGCAAGTTTTATCTTGTGAATTTGTGAAATGATGTGCAAAATTTAACAAAAAATATAAGTGTATAATTGGAAACATTAATTTAATTCATAGTTTGTAAATTTAATAAACAAAAAAAAGAGAACCCTGAACTTGTAAACCCCTAAAATATAATGGCCGCATCTGATTTCTCTTTCCTCTCTTAATTCTCCTTAAGTCCTCTCCTCGATTCAGCAGGAAATGGGTGAGGAAGTCCCACCCACTGGGGAGACACACACAGAGGAGAGAGGATCTAAACTCCTCACTGAGACCAATAAAGTTTGATTCTTTTCTGTGATGTCTGCTCCTGAAGCCTCCCTCATGTTTATTCCTTCCTCCCGTGGTTTCCTTTGGGACACCACTTAACATGACACATTTGATTGACAGAAAAATGGAGGATCGCGGAGAGGAATCAAGGAGAAGGAAGCGAGGAAAGAGAAATGAGATGCGGCCATTATACTGAAAATATTGAATGACTAAAGGATTCTTCTCCTTCAGTCAGTCGGCAGGGGGTGCTGTCTGACCAGATTTGTGCTGCGTTTTGAAGAGAGGGGGAGAGGTGGAGGGAGAGAGGCAGAGGAGACTGGAAAGAGGAGAGAGAATGAAAGAGAGACAGAGGATATAAGAGAGAAACGGAGGTATAAAGAAAGGAAGAGGGGTGGGGAAGAAGTGATGGAGGAGAGAGAGGGGAAAGAAACAGCATGATGGAAGAGATAGAGAGAGAAGATAGTGCAGAGAGCAAGAGAGAGAGAGCGCCAACACAAATTCTGATACAACAATCCAATCTAATCCACTTTATTTATATAGCACAAAATGATAAAATAAATGCTCAGATTTAATCATAATAATCTTACAATAATAAAACCAGTAAAATAAAATAAGAGCAAAAAACACAGAATAGCAATAAAATAAATAAAACCAATAAAATAAATAAAAAATAAATAAAAGACAAAGAGGAACACACAACTCACATGATGTTAAAAGCCAGAGAGTAAAAGTGGGTTTTAAGATGAGACTTGAAACTCTCAGATGTGTTCTAGAGCTCGGGTCTGGTCACAGAGAAGGCCCTGTCCCTCTGGTTTTAAGTCTTGTTTTAGGATCTCGGACTTCAAAGTGTAAATTATACTGTGGGGACGGTCCATTCAAAGCTTTAAAAACAAACAATAAAACCTTAAAATCAATTCTAAATTGAACAGGAAGCCAGTGCAAAGACGCAAGCATTGGGGTAATGTGCTCTCTTCTTTTGAATCCTGTCGCGCTGCAGAGTTTTGGACTAACTAAAGATAGTAAAGTGCGTTTAGTGAGATGCCAGAATAAAGTGCGTTACAATCGTCCAGGCGTGATGAAAAAAAAAGCAACAACTTGTTCAAAAAGTTTAAAAGATAAAAAAAGGTTTGACCTTGGATAATGATAAAAACTTGATAAAACACCATTGATCTGTTTGTCAAATTTAAAATTACTGTCTAAGGCAGGCATGTCAAACTCAGGCCCGGGGGCCAAACTTGGCCCACAATATAATTATATTTGGCCTGTGAGATCATGTCAAACATGTATTAGAGCTGCCTGTCGGATACAGATAGACTATAGAGACATTATTTTTTTAAATTGTGTTATTATTTTATATTCTGCTTGTTCTGGATTCAATGTTTATGCAAAACTATTATTAAACATTTATTTAAATAAGAAAAGGTTTAACATTACATATCTCAAAAAAAAAAAAAAGAGAAAACCTGCAGATGTTGTTGAAATTTTTCCAAAAAAATATTTAGTTTGGCCCACGACTTAGTCAAAGTTTTAAATTTTGTCCCTCTGTGGATTTGAGTTTGACACCCCTGGTCTATGGTGACACAGAGGTTGGTGACTGTGGGGTGCACATCATTTTTGAGGGGTCCCACATCAATGAGGAATACTGCCAGACCCAAACAGTATCACTTCAGTCTTTGCTTCATTCAGTTTTAAAAAATGTTGGGCCAACCAAGCCTTGATGACAGACAGTCTAGATAGACAACTCAAAATAGAGTTTAAAAACACAGAGGAGCAAAGTGCAACCAGACCTATAAACAGATTTTTTTTTTCTTCTTGGACTTTCTCACATAGTCAAACCTCATGCATGTGAATTCTAGAGAGTGACAGAGAGTTTGTGAAAGACAGAGCCCAATGAATGTGAAGGTATAGGAGCTGAGGAGCTGCCACCGACATAAAGAGAGGATCTGACAGAGTGAGAGAGACAGGAGGGGGGGAAGTGTCTGGGGAGACGGTGACACCTGAAACAAACATGGCCGACACACAAACAGAGCAGAGTGAGTCAGAAAACAACAAACAGCGACAACAAGAGGGAGAGGAGAGAGAAAGAGAGATCCAGTGTGCTTGTGAAGACAGAAGCACTAAAACAATGTCGCTTTAATTACGTGACTTTACATTGTTTATCGTTACGTTCATAGCGCAGTAGCATAAATTGTCACAGCAATAAGGTCCCTGGTTCAACTCCTGGGCCTGTTTGAGTGGCGTTTGCATGTTCTCCCTGTGCCTGGGTCCCCATCAACCCAAAACATGCACAAAAGGTCAAATTCTCCAGCAAAGGAGGATTTGCTGCTCTTGACAGGTTTAACCCGAACATACTGAACGATGGGTTACAGGTCTTATCATAAGGTGTATTGCTCAAGGGCCAAGGAAACTGTCATGACTGAACCCCCACCTGATGGAATACATTTGTGCCGAGCTCTTTAAATAACCGTCTACAAGAGCATTTGTTTAAACATCCATCACTGTCTCATCTTAATGCGACCACTCTTCCATTCATCTCTCCCCCTTTCTCTTTCTCTCCTCCTCTTCCTCACCTTTCTTCTTCACTATCCCCCCCTCTCTCTCTCGCTCTCTATCTGTGTCAGCTCTCTCTTTTCTTTGTCTTTCTCTCTCCTCTCTCTCTCCCCCTCTCCTCCTCTCCTCCTCCCTCCCTCCGTCTTCTTCACCTCTGTCACTCCTGTCTGAATCTCATTACTTTTGTCTTTATCTCGTCTTCGGACACTGATGACTCGGGTCCACCGGGGAGCGCCGCCATCGCCGACTTCACACGGCGAGATGGAGCTGTCCGCAAAATGTCAACTTCCTGTTTGAGCCACGTCAGGAACAAACCTCAAGAGAACCAGGACGAACCCAGGACTAAACCAGGTCTAAACTGGGTCTAAACCGGGTCTAAACCAGGACTAAACCAGGACTAAACCAGGTCTAAACCAGGACTAAACTGGGACTAAACCATGTCTAAACTGGGAAAAACCAGGTCTAAACCGGGACTAAACCAGGTCTAAACCAGGATTAAACCAGGATTTGACCAGCATGTGAACACAGTTAAACAGTTGTAATCAGAGACCATCTCAGAGATGATTGTCTCATTTACTGGGTTCATTTGAATTATGAATCTAAAATCCAGCAGATTACAGGAAATGACATCTGTTTTCTGAGCAGGACCTCTAGACCCAGTGATGTCGCTGTCTGAACTGTAGACCCGATAAAAAAGTGGACTAAGCGAGTGTGACGTCACCCACAGAGTTCGGCTCCAGTCAAATGAAGATCATGATGTCGCAGCTACAAGGGCGAATTTGGAGCCAAGCTTCATTCATCCATTTTCTTCTGCTTAGTCCTCTCGACGTGGAGGAGCAGCAGCTCTACTCCAAGTTCCTCCTGACTGAGCGCCTCACCCTATCTCTAAGAGAGTGCCCAGCCACCTGCAGAGGAAAGTCATTTCAACCGCTTGTATCTGTGATCTTGTTCTTTGTTGTTCTTGTTCTTTGTTCTACAGGCTTCATATCAGCAAAAGGAATTTATTTACAGACAAAACAGCAAAATAAAAACATCAGGGTCATGTAGAAAAGGTTAATATGAATATTTTAAGACCAAAAAGACGAGGCTCACATCAGCATTTACAGAGAGAAG